TCGTTTGCTTGGATTTCCCATTAGAATGATTTTAAAATTGCTGTAACTTTACCAAGTGCTCTCTTAACTAAGGGAGGACTATTACGTCAGCAGCATGGATAGAAGTGTGTAAGGAAATTGAGAACATTTTTCAAAGTGTGCATGGGACAGAAAATCAAAGTGTCATCAAAGAATTTATAAGTGAATTAGAGGGACGATATCCCTCAGTGAATAAAACTACAATACGCTTATTTTGCACTTCAGAACTTTTATAAGAATTCGCCATCTAAATTGAAACTGCCCAGCTACTTCGAAAAAAAAAGGCAGACGAAAAAATTAAAAAATGAATAAGTCAAAGAAAATAAAAACTTAAATGAAAAGTATAGATAATTAATAGTTAAAATTCTCCTAGTTTCATAGCGTAGTTTTTAATGTAGTTATTCCAAATATTATTTTTTTAATTATAATTATTTTTTTAATATAATTATATTCCTTTAAATTTAAATATATATAAACAATTGTAAAATTTATAATATTTTCATGAACCTAAATTATTATTTTGTTAGAATAATTAGCGTTTAAGGTTGTTGTTTCCTAATGATTAAGTATAAACATTAACAGCATATTTTGAAATCAAGATTCTACATTTAACCTAACTTTACAAATTATTATTATCGAACAATATGTAGCTAAAACAGTGTCGATATATTCATTAAATTCTTTTAATAATAAAAGTTAAAACTGAAAATTTTAAAATACAGTATTTATAGCGCCATTTACGACTGGTAAAATATTTTTATTAGTTTAAAATGGTATTTAATTTAATATTTTGGCCAAGAAAATTCTTTAAAACTATGTCTTTGAAAGGAAATAATATTTTAATTGCATAAAGTTTGAAAGTTAATATCAAGAAAAAGTCGAACTTATTTTTACAGAGAGAAGGATACAGAGTTTTCATAATATCTTTGCTTGCGATCTCTGAGATCTGTGTGCAACGTCACGTCATGAGGAGGGAAATCGTAGCTTCAGCTCTAAGAGCGGAATGAACTAGCCCTTCTATTGTCTTTAGCCCTGGTTAAACCTACCAGGTGAAAACGCCATGCTTCTCTTAAAATAATTTCAGCAAAAAAATAAATATATATCAATAACTATTAATTTTACATGCGTTCAAATGTAGAACATTATATGACATTTTAAAACTGCTTACTAATAAAAACAAGTTTGATGAAGTGAGTTCTACACCTGATATTATTTATAATTTTTTTTAAAAAACACTTTGTTGCACATAAATTAATGTTTTCCATAAATATATATTAATTTCCTCAAATCGCAAATTTTTCGAGGTCTGACTTCACATCAAATCATGGTTTATAAATCTGGTCTTCTTAAATTAGTAGTAACACTGTAGTAAATTAATAGTGTGCTAATTCAATAATTTTAAATAATTGAGTTTAAATTTAAAAAAATATTAACTCATATTTCTTAAATATTATATTTAACAACTTAACTAGGTGTAATATAATAATTAAGAATATTTTTTCGTGAAATTCTAAAAATGGATAAAAAAATAATAATCATATTATTATTAAGGTTTAAGGAGTTTTACAGCGTTAAAATGGCATTTTTTGTTTGTGCAAACTCAAGCCAGAATAATTTTATATCAAATGAGTGCTTTATAAAAAACAAATATGCCAGAAATTTTATGCTGAATAAATTTAAAATTTTGCAATTCCGTTATTTAAAATGTGCTCGAATATGAGAAAAACTTTAAAAACTCGCGTTTTTTTATTTAGTAGAAAAATTTAAGGGATGAACTTTTAATTTTGTTTACATTTAACTATTAAAAAATCGCTCGATATTAAAAAATCGTAAGGTCCATCGCCTTTGTTTTGGGTATTTAATTTAGCATCAAAATTTTTTTTGTAGCGCAAAAACTGTAAAACGTTGAAATTACTAATGCGTGTAGAAAAGTGTACTAAATCTTCGATACAATAAAAAAATTGAATTTGTTCGAGAATTATTAACTGTAAAACTTGTTGTAAAAATTACTATCCTCTACAGACCGCAGGAATGCAACTGTAGAGATTTGACTAGCTGAGCAGGCTATATTTGCTTATGAACCATAAAGAGAAGTGTTTTTGAAATTCTAATTAGTTTGAAAGTTATTGCAATTTAAGAACTTTTTTTCGTGATCTTTTTTCTTAATTTTTTTTAGTTAAATTTTCTTGCGTAAAAAATAAAAAGCCAAAAAATTCGAAAGTTTGTTTAACTATAGAAAACATATAGAGAGCGATGGAAATATAGAGAGCTAATATAGAGAGCGATGAAATAAAAAATCTTAATATATTTTAGACTAGAGTCAGATATTGGTTGATCTACTTTTTCTTATAATGCAACTAAAGAGTGATTTTGTATTATAAACAACAAGATTCAACAAGATTTTTGCTTTCGAAATTTCCATTTGTTTGAAAGTTTTTTTAAGTTTAAGTGCTTTTGGGGGATTTTTTCAGCTTTTTTGCTGGGGTCACAGTACCCTTGCAACAATTTTTTTAAATAAAGGTATTAAAGGTAATAAAGGTATCATTTTGTGGATGCTTTACATGCTCATTTAACTTATAATCAATAATTTATCTTCAAAAAGTAATTAAACTGCTTAATTTTTTTAAAAAAATTCAAAATTTCAAAGGCTCTTTTATTTTAACCTATTTTCAAAAAAAAATTTTCTTAGTGCAATATTCATCTTAACAATTTTATGCATTCTTTTGTTGATATACCAATTATAATATTTTTTGTAGATTATTTTGCAAAAAAGTAGAAAAAAAAGGTTAAAAATTCCTGTTAGGTATATATTACACGCTGTAAAAATTGTAATACCTCATAAAATGCTTATTCCATGCACAGTTTAAACAAGTGTATTATACTTAAGACAAAAAAAGTTTCATTCAAAGCTTTATCTTAAATAGACAAAATTCCTTAGGGATTTAATTAAAATTAAAACAAAATTATCATCTACGACAAAAAGCACTTTAAAGTCTGTCTGCTGAGCAAGTTTCCGAATTAGGACAATCTAAAATCATTCATAACTTTTTTAAAAATGTAGATAGAGAGACGATTTTTTTTCAGTGCATTTGAAATAGTTTGAAGTTTTATTATAAGTAGTAATTTTTTCTCTATATATTTTGGTCATTTTTGGATACTGTGACCCTTTAAATATTGACAATTTATTCTTTTTTTTAGAAAGTATATTTTTCCGCACAAGATCCTTATTTTAGGAACTCGTACTTGAGTAGATGTCTATCAAAAGTAGCATTTAACATTCATAGTAAAATTTTAGAAAGTGAAAAAACAATAAATAGCGATAAAAACCATTTCGTATTTTAATTGTTATAAGTTCAACTACTGAAATTACTTCTCATTTATTTCTCCTTATTGAATCTCACAATTCTTAGGTTAATTTTTTCTCAAATACAGATGATTACTTTTTAAATTGAGTTAATCGTCTATTTCATTGTGATTAACAAAATGTTCGTACATAAAGCTCAAATAATTGCATATTTTGAAACCAAAATGTTCATTGCTCTTGTCGAAACTATTGAGGTTTAAGAAGAAATTAACAATGATGAATGAGAATCAAATATGTGGGTTGGTGAGCGCAGCGAGCAAAGTGAGGAGCTTCCTAGTTCATCTCAAAACTTTATAGTTAAATGAAACTTGCTTGTAGATAGTTTTTGAAATCTTTTTGGTAAAAAAATTATAATATAAGCTCCGTACATTACATGCTATTGCTTATTTAAATTTTAAATAAATTGAGTAGAGATTTTATATGTTTGCAAATATTTTAATAATTTCACCATATAAAATTTCTCAAGCCGTATTGTTAACATAGTTCAATTATTCACGCTTATGTAGTGCTGTTATAATCTCATAGTTATACGTTTAAAATTTTATGTTTGCAAATAATCTACCGATTTCACGACATGAAATTTTTCAATCATTCAATCATTGGCAACTTGAGTTAATAATTTTTTTTCAAATTTTGGTGCTGATGTAGCATTTGAAACACTTTATTTAAATTATTATGCTACAATTTTATATATTCAAAAGTACGGAAAGATTGAAAGATACTTCAATATGAAGTAAAAAATATTGTATATGTACTCAAAGTGCTAACAATTTTAACGTAGGAAATTTTCCAAACAGCATTGCTAACACAAGTCAATAAATCTTTTAAATTGTCGATACTGAACCAGTTCTTATAATAACTTACAATTACAACTTAATTAAATGAGACTCAAAGAAAATATTTATGCAAAAGCTTTAAATAGTTAGAACATTGTTGATATATCAGAACGTGTATAAATAGAGTTAATGTGAATGTGATTAATGTTCTGCATTGTCAACATAGGCTCAAAAAAACCTTTAAAATTGTCGACACTGAACCGGCGCTTGTAATCCTTTTCTATTACAACTTAATTAAATGAAACTCAAAGAAAATATTTATGCAATAGCTTTAACTAATTAGAACATTGTTGATATATCAGAACGTGTATAAATATTAGAGTTAATGTAAATGTGATTAATGTTCTGCATTATCAACATAGGCTTAAAAAAAAACTTTAAAATTGTCGACACTGAACCGGTTCTTGCAATCCTTTACTATTACAACTTAATTAAATGAAACGCAAAGAAAATATTTATGCAATAGCTTTCACTAATTAGAACATTGTTGATGTATCAGAACGTGTATAAATATTCGAGTTAATGTGAATGTGATTAATGTTCTGCATTGTCAACATAGGCTAAAAAAAACTTTTAAAATTGTCGACACTGAATCAGAGCTTATAATACTTTACGAGTGCAACTTAATTAAATGAAACTAAAAAAACATATATGTGTAATACATTTAATTAATTAGAACGCTGTTGATTTGTCTGAACTTGTATAAATATTGGAGTTAATGCTATAGTTTTTTAAATTGCATCCATAGATATAACCAAAGTTAATAAAGATTTCGTACTTACAGGATTCCGATAATGCAGACCAGGCTCGGACTCGGCTTTTTGCAGTATTTTGGTCACGAAACTCATGTTGGTAATGAGCTCGCCACTCTAAGGCGCCCCTGCAATTTTTTCTTGGGGGGTGCAACGACCTGGGGAGTGTATGGTGTGGCGCCCTCACAATACAATCTCTGTCTGTTACAAACAGTGATGAATGCCAAGCATACTAAAAAAAGTTCTAACTTTCGCCGGGGGGAATCTCCTGAGAACGCTATTCTCTAAAACCATGCATCCCTGTTTTTGCAGCAAAATGCAGCAGTGAGGAACGATTTTTCCGAGCAGAGGAATGAAAGATGTTCTTTTTTTATCGAGATTTCAAATCTTTGTTTGCTTCTGCTAATTAATTTGAGTCGTGATTCAAATGTGTCACACATCGTTAAATTAAACAGTTTCCTTCATTGTTACACTTGCTCGGGTTCACTTATTATTATGTTAAACAAACATGCTAAATATACCTTTCGCATATGACACATAAGGTAAATAACTATAATATGAGATTAAAAAAAAGAAATATTTGGTACAAACAAATAAATTTTCATCTGCACGAATTTAGAAGTAAAACAATATGGCAACATTTAAAAACATTCAATGAATTCCTTATATATGAATAATAATAATTAATATATATATATATATATATATATATATATATATATA